AGCGTGGCACTTGTTACTAGAAGCAATGCACTTGTTCCTAGCAGCTTATTGTTACTGGTTGTAAGAATCCTCCTAGTAGCGATGCCAGGAGCCCCTAGTAGCGTCCTATTATCTGTATTTCTATTGGATTAGATCCTGTCTGCTATAGATCTTTACCGCGATTGGAACAGCAGGATCTGCCCGCTCCCACGCAGCCATCTCTCCGTCCTGCACGGCTCGCTGGAAGACATAGTCTGAATTCGTGAACTGCTGAAGCTCCTTCCAAGAGAACAACACCTGTTTGAACCGGTAAAGAACAGGTCAAAGTCATGTTGAAGAAACAAAAAACCACAGCAAGATCACCTATGATCACCTAATTAAGACCATTCCGAGGCAGGAACTCAATGTGTGGAAAAAGTTTAATCCAAAGAATCACCTTTCGCTATGACTGGTGCCCATGTCAGGCACAAATCTACTTGCTTTCTGACTCACTGAGAGGAAAGAGGAACAAAGGCAAATGATAAGTTTCACGGTCAAGCTTGCGAGGAGAAACCAAATTGAGTCTCCACTCCTCTTATTTTTTGATTATTCCTTTATTAAACATGGGAGGCAGCCCGGCAACCCTCCTGCCCAAACTGGAGACGTTCCAATCTCAAAAGAAATAAAGATACAGAATCCACAAGGAACAAATTCACAAATTCAGTAAACAAAAATAGTTCTGCACCTCCCAGTAACTCCCCGCCATTCGAGTTAGTCTCCTCACGTCGCAGCACCCTGAGCCCGCGGCCGCCGGTTTCACCAGGCAGCTTGGCGAAGAACAGGGCGTCGCTGCTCGAGGACGTCGCCTACGCGGCCGATCTTGAAACAACTGGGTGAACCAAGCGGCGGGTGATTGTGACCAGCTAAAAGGTCTGTGAGATCTTGGGCCAAAGTAATTCCAATATAGGAACAATGGTCGCTACTAGGGGCTCCTGGCATGGCTACTAGGAGCAAGGACGCTACTAGGGGCTCCTGGCCTTACTACTAGGAGCAAGAAGCTACTAGGAGCTTTTTTCCGCGCGCGCGTGCGGGGGGGTAGAGGAACAATATACGCACAAATGCTTCTTTGGTACCTCTCTCCTAGAAAGTGTTTGTTCACGTGGAAGAGTTGCTTTCTATCTTGACGTGTTCACTTCGTCTTGATGACCCTCTGGCCTGTACCGGTTTTGGAAGACTATAGGGCCTTTGGAAGCATGATTCACCTCCATGCTCCTCGTGGCTCCGAGTGGGGAGAGGCATTGGGCGCCGAGCTAAACACACTCTTTGCCGCGTCTGACTGCTTTCTACGTCTTGGACTATCGCTTTCATCGAAACTATGTCCACGCTTTCTTGATGCTAACCGTCAACTGTCGATCGCCCTGATCGCCCTGATCGCCTCCAGCGCTTCTTCAGCCGAGAAGTAGGTTTCAGGAAAGGGCCCATCTGGGCCGTTACCTGAATGGAAAAATACAGATCCCACATTAAAACCAGTAAAGAAAGGGATGTAAACAAGTTGTTCAACAAAACCACCGGCTACGTGAACTAACTTCAGTTTTCCAAAAAGAACTCAGAACCAAATGAATCAAGCCTGAGCTTTCCTTCATCCAAGCCTGACAGCCCTTAAGCTTAGAAGTTACTTCTTACTACTATCAATCTATGAACTCTTTGTCAGCTGACCTCACACAGCCTACCCCGCCTAAAAGAAAGAACAAAGAAAGCTACTAGCGATGGCCTCCAACCTAGAAGCAAAGGCCTCCATCCTAGTAGCGCCTTTCTTTGTTTCTTCTTTCCCGCCTTCCCTCTGCCGAGCCACAGCCCGATGCACGGAGCCGCTCTTCCAAACCGCGCTTGTGGTCGTAGATGTTGGTGACTTCTGCCGAGTGAAATCTAATGCTTATTACTAGCTTCTTGTTACTACCAGTAAGGCACTTGTTACTACTAGCGTGGCACTTGTTATTACTAGCTTCTTGTTACTACCAGTAAGGCACTTGTTACTACTAGCGATGCACTTGTAATTACTAGCAAAGGAACCTACTTCTACGCTTCTAATGCTTCTACCCAATGCTTCTACCCTCCCCCCGCCCGTGGATTGGAACCAAGATGGTTTGTCAACTTGGCATTGATCTGAGGACCCACCTCTTTGATTTACTGCCAACCTATCTGTTCGAAACCACTGATCGACTTTACTTGCCTTTTCAGCATCAATCCTAGCGGCCCCAGTGTACACACCGATCCATGGACCGTGCCTCGATCAAGGAGCCTCACATGTCGCTTTGCCGAGCCCAGCTGTGGCAAGGTCTCTTCGAAGGTGTCGAAGTAGGTGAAGATCGTGTCATCTTTGTAACCTGCCGTCAGGCTGTGGCACCACAAAAACAAAACACGACCAGGTTGGATTTTAACTCGCGCCAAACCAAGAGGCACGTCATTGATGCAAAATAAGAAAACAACTTCCAAAACGATGAACGACAGAAGAAAAGCCTCAATTCAAAACCTGCACGATACAGCATGCTTCCATTCATATGAAGGAAAAGTATGGAATCTAGGAGATCTACTCCCCGTCCTAAACCCAACTACAAGAAATCATCAAACTAAGTCTGACTTCACATGTGGACCCCGCCCCAACAAAGCTTAGCCCTATTGTGGACTTCGCTCTCCCCATTCACCTGGCCTGGATACTCCACTGCCAGCTGGTGCACAGCTTCAGAGAAGGCCTCATGGCCTCGGTTGATGAAGTAGCGAAAGCCGCCCACCTTGCGCTAGCAAACAGGTGTGGAAGAGCTTCGGATGGGAAAGTCGGAATTAATTCATGGATTGTAACCTGCACAAACGCAGGTGACGCTACTAGGGGCTCCTGGCCCTACTACTAGGAGCAAGGGCATCGCTAATAGAAACAAGAAATACATATAATTAGAATTACAATTCAATTAAATCTAATTAGAATTTAATTAGAATTGAAACTAGCAGCTACTAGGACCTTTTCACGTGCGCGCGCGCGAGGGGGGTAGGAGCAAGGACGCTACTTGGGGCTCCTGGCCTACTACTAGGAGCAAGGACGCTACTAGGAACAAAGGGCATCGCTACTAGGAGCAAGGACGCTAAGTGGACTCGTTTTCAAGTTCCACTTTCGTTCGAGGCTACTGCGCGCCGCACCCAAGCTTCCAGGCCTTGTAGGCTGCTCCATTGAATCCTAGGGCCTTTCAAGAACGGCTCTCCCATGGGGCAAGCAAAGCTTCTCAAAAAGACTCTTCTCATCTTTTTCCTTTTCTTACAACTAATTTTCTTTGTGGAGTGCACACGTTCTGAAAATTGAGAACACAACTTGGACAAACTTGGTGCCAAAAAAAGGCCCAAAAGGCAACACGTGAACCCTTCGGGAAGAGCAACTTCTTCGGTCAAAGGATCATTGCGGACTATATGGCCATACAATGTCGCAGGGCTGTAGGTCATCGGCGGCGATACCCTGATGTTCATCTTGCCAATGGCATGAAGGGAAAGGAGGGATGGGGCCAGCGCATTCCACAACTGTTCCATTGACCGCCTCCCCCTAGTAGCGTCCTTGTTACTAGTAGTAATGGCCTCCAGCGGCTGTTTAGTCGGATTTACACGCCTCTGGGAGGTAAGCTGCGCAAAAGGCCAGCAGCAAGCCACCCAGCGCCAGGTCGCCTAGTCGTGAGTAGCAACCAAGGCTGAATAGCAGGGGATCACGAGTCAAAACCAGCAACAGAACAGCCACATCAGAGCGTACTTTGACTGTCTTCACCTAAAGAAATCTCGCCAACTCAGTTGCACACTGACTAGGTGAGGCCAAGAAAGGGTGGACTTGTTGCCTTTTGTCCATTCCTAAGAACATGAAAACTCATCTCAGCAGGTCTACAGTTTTTCTTACTAGGGGCTCCTGGCATCGCTACTAGGAGCAAGGACGCTACTAGGGGCTCCTGGCCATACTACTAGGAGCAAGGGCGCTATTAGGGGCTCCTGGCATCGCTACTAGGAGCAAGGACGCTAGCTACTAGGGGCTCCTGACCATACTACTAGGAGCAAGGGCGCTATTAGGGGCTTGTGGCATCGCTACTAGGAGCAAGGACGCTACTAGGGGCTCCTGGCCATACTACTAGGAGCAAGGGC